CTTCGTTGACCGTGAGAGATTGTGATGGGCTAAGTTGGGACACCCCTGCAGGGTTTTAAACTTTCTAAAGTCGTGCCCGCGGTTATGGGTAGATGTGAATTTGTTAATATCCGGTTGTAGAGAACTTGACACTTAACTTAATTAAAATGCATCAACCGTGTGTGTGGCCGTGATGGTCTCTTTCCGGCGGAGTCCGGGAAGTGAACACGGTTTTGGAGTTATGTTTGAACGTAAGTAGTTTAAGGATCACTTATTGATCACTTCTAGTTCACGACCGTGCTTTGCTTCTCTTCTCGCTCTCATTTGCGTAAGTTAGCCACCATATATGCTAGTGCTTGTTGTAGCTCCACCTCACTACCTTTTCCTACCCAAAAGCTTAAATAGTCTTGATCACGAGGGTGTGAGATTGATGAGTCCCCGTGACTCACAGATTACTCCCAAAACCAGTTGCAGGTGCCGATGCTACCAGTGTAGGTGACGCAACCGAGATCAAGGAGGAGCTCGATGAAGATCGTGTGCGTTGTGTTGTTTTGTTTCCAGTTGGTCAGTAGTGGAGCCCAGTCGGGGCGATCGGGGATCTTTTGCATTAGGGGTTATCTTTCTTTATTTGGTTCCGTAGTCGGACCTTGATTGTATCTGGATGACGTAATGCTATATTCTTGTATTGTGTGAAGTGGCGATTGTAAGCCAACTCTTTATCTCTTTCTTGTTCAGTACATGGGATGTGTAAATATTACCCCTCTTGCGACATGCCTACAATGCGGTTATGCCTCTAAGTCATGCTCCGACACGTGGGAGATATAGCCGCATCGTGGGTGTTACAAGTTGGTAATCACAGCCTTCCCCGACTTAGGAGCCCCCTGCTTGATCGAATCGTTGGCGTTGTTGAGTCTAGAAAAATGTTTTGAGTCTTATAGGATTATATATATCGGAGAGTAGGATTCTTTTTACTCCTCAGTCCCTTCATCGCTCTGGTGAGGCCTCCTGACGTAGAGTTTTGACTCTTCTCTCCTCAAATTTCACTAAAAAAAATTAGGATCACGTGGGTATCTTGGAATCGTTCCGATGGTTTTGTGATGAGAACATTGTTCTTGGTGCCTCTTGACATTTAGGGGTTGTGGCAGTGTCCCAGGGAGTTGAGATCCGAGGTGTTGTCGTCACAGTTTTATCGTTGCAGTTCTGGAATACATGAGTTTCGCCGACATCGAAAATCTCTTTTATGCAGTTGTTGGTGAGATAACCTCGACGCCACCCAGTACTGGGGCGGGAGTTCGGGAGTATTGCCATAACTCGTATAACGGATTCTTTTCGAAGGTTGAGGTAAATGATTTCCGAAGGTTTCTTGGTTATGTGTTGAAGGATGGATACAGCTGGATGTAGGATTTGTTAGTTTGGGTGAGATATTATGCTTCCCCTGTATCCCCAACACCTGATTGCATAACCAGAAAGTTTCGGGAGTTTATATGTGGGAATTCAAGTAGCTCCTAGGATATCTTTCTGACAGATGTATGATATGAAATTGGGGTTCGACGTCTAGTGGTCCGCCTATCCACGGTTGGTTTTACAGTGCTCTTGTTGTGTCTTAAAGAGTCCTTGGCTATGCTGACTCAGGGACGCTTCGTATGTCATGTGCACTGCCTTGTACATGATGATGCTGTACGATCGATCCCATGTGGGCCCCACCACGAAAACTTCGGATGAAATCTCTATCATATGTTTGTTCTGGCTTATTCTGCAAGCCAATCCTTTGTTTTTGTTTTCAGTTGTGGTATTCGAGTTGCTTCAAAGTCAAGTGTTGATTCCATACCTTTCCTAAGCGGTGTTCTCATATTCCTATGTGAATACTAATCCTTCTTGATCATCGAGGTTTTCATGTCAATTCTTCCAACCGGTGTGCTTCTCTTCAAGTGGATCCGATCATTTTAAGCATCTGCAAGTTCAATTCTAAGTTCTCTCAACGGTGTTCATTTCGTCCGTCCCAAGTTGTCTTTGTTTTTCCCGCCCTCCCACCCTTTTTCTTAAAGGACTAAGATTCCTTATTCAAGTATCCTTTATTGATGGGAATTCTATCCATTACTTTCTTTCATTGTTCTTACCCAGTGGTTCTCATGAAGATGCTCCATAAGTTTATCATTCTTCGTTCTCTTTTCTTCTCTGGTGGATCCAATTCAAGCTTTGTTGATCATATCCTTTTTCCTCATTTCAAATACCTTCTCTTGCCGGTGCACCTCATAATCTTTCACTTCTCGCTATTCATTTGTTCGGAGCGCTGAAGTTATCTCAGAAGGCTCGTCTTTTCATTCAAGATCCGTTCAAACCTATCTCGAGGTTGTTATCTTATTCAAGCCATTTAATTCAACTGGTGCAATCTCCTTTTTCAAGTAATCGTTCAACGGTGTTTTTCTCTTGAGTGGGCCCTAACCCACGGGTCTTTTCCCAGGATCACCTGACTCTTCTATTTTCCCGGAGCTTCCTAAATTCTTTTCGAAGTTTGACATAAGAATGAATTATCATCAGTCATATGTCTTTCTCCAAGATCCTTCATATGCTTTCTTCGTTGGTTCAACCTTTCTAATTTTCATCCCGGAGTGTCTCAACAACTCATGGTGGTGTTTCTTATCGTCATTCTCAACATTTGAAGACCGAAGAAGAGTTTTTCCTCCAAATCTTATCCGCTCTCTCAAAGATTTGTGATTATAGCTTGATGCCATTCTCTCATAACTACTTTCGATTGTGAGAATTCTTTTCACCCATACGGAGCAATTCAAGATTCTTTCCATTTTGATTCTCCGAAGGCCATCATTTCGGGATTATTCATTCCAGCTTTTAGCTATTGTTCTCTAAATCTTACCGGTGCATCATTCGAGTATGATCTAATCAGCTCATGATCTCTTCGTTTCACTTGTGTCTAAATTCTCTCAAGTATCTTCATTCATTTTTCTAATTCTTCCCGGTGTTTCCTTATCTTTTCTTTGTTCATTTCCAATTCTTACGGTGGTTTGTTCAAGATTTCTCTTACCTTGTTATCATATCAATTCATTCGTTGTTTCAATCCTACTGGTGGATCGTTGAAGACATTCCCAAGTTTGTGCTATATCTATCTTAATCCTTTCCGCGAGAATAAGTAGTATGCCAAATCCATGTTTTCCATCAATCTAAATTGATGAAGGTTAAGCATAATGTAATTCTTATTCTTGTTTTATCGAGTATATTCAATTCCTTACTCCGGAGGTTCATCAAAATTCTTGATTTCTTTTGTTCATCTTTCTTCCCGGAGTTTCAAGCTCTCATCATCACAAAGATCAATCTAATCATTGCAAGGCTTCAACCTTATTCTTTTCATCCTTCATTTCGTTTGATCATTCTTTTACTACCGGAGTTCTTCGGGGAGGCTGTACATGTTGGTTCATCAAGTACTTAATCCCTTCTCGAAGCATTCATCAAGATTCTTTTCAGAGGAGCAAGCTTTCTTCATCGTGCAATCTGGAGTGCAATTCTTTCTATCTTATCTTTTGAGGTGGTGTTATGACATTCGTGACGATTTGAGTTCGTGTTTCATGATTCAACAATTGTCAAGAATGAGATATTTAAACCCACCAATCTCTTCATTGGAGTTATTTCGGGCTATATTTCACCTAAAGCCTTCCCTAAGGATTGTTGCTATTTATGGTGCTCATAAACGAACCAAGTTCTTCATTTATCCTCCCGGTGAAATAAGTTTCTCGTCTCCTTGTTCATATCAACCCAATTTTTGGTTTTCATTAGTGGCAGAATTTTACCTCATAATTTTGAGAAGTTTTCCATAAGCCCACTACAAGTTTATTCGTTTCGTTGTTGGTTTTCCAACAACTTCGTTATATCTTTCTTGGAAGGGTGCTTTCCAAGCTCACTTGTGGCAGAAGTTGGCATTTTCTTCTCCATTCTTATTCCAATGATCGATACTCTATTCTTTCTCCCGGAGGCTTTGTGATGTTGCTCTTTTCAATCATCATCTTGAATGGTGAGGATCGTGTTCTTTTCATGCCTATCCATTCAACCGGAGTGTCGTGTTCTTCATTCAAGTTCTCTTATCTTACCAAGTTTTGCCTCCCTTCTCAACCGGAGTGATGTCCGAATTTGTTCTTCCTTGTTCATCTTTTCTAACGGAGTGTTTTCAACTTTGTTCATCTTTGTTGTTTTCTTTCTTTCAAGTTGTTCAACCTCTCAAGGTTCTTTGGTTTCACTCGTTTGTCAAAGAAGCAACTTAGTTTTACCTCTTCTCTTCCTCTTCCATTTTCCCCGGTGCCATCCTAGATCTCGGGACGAGACCCTCTCGTAGTGGTGGAGTGTTGTGACGCCCCAAGACCGGAGCTTCAGATGCCTTCCAGGGTTTCCGGGTTTCGTCGTGTGATTTGTTTGGTTCATTGCATTCATCATTGCATCATGTGCATTGCATCATGTCATCATGCCATCATGTCATTTTTTAACTCAACTAAATAAATGGCATGGATCTTTGATCCATTTAAACCGAGGGAATTCACATGGTGATTCTCTTTATAACATATGTCCTCCCAATATTATTAGGGAGCTATAAGTAATATTACATTCTTTTGGAATCAACCAAAACATACTTGCTTTTTTCTCTCTTGCCACCTAATCCCTCTTTTCTACTCGAAACCCAATCACTAGCTTCTTTCCTTCGAATCGACCCATTTGTTGCTAGTGACATTTTTCTGTCACATAAAAATGTTCTTTCTTTCCCTATTAATCTTAAACCATGTCTACACCCTCCCTGTCAAATTTCAGCTCTTTTGGGTTTGGTATGGTTGGGTTCAAAAATGGCTCAAGTTTGAATTAAATTCAAACTTGAATTATTTTTCTATCCCTAAATATTGCCAAACCATTTAATTCTATTTGTGCAATTTCCAGCGCTCCAAGAATATTTTATTTTCTGAGATATTCCATCCCTAACCCTCTCTTTCTATTTTATTTCTTTCTTCTTCTATCTAATTTTCTCTTCTCTATTTGGCTAAGAGAAGAGAGTAGAGAGAGCCCAGCTGAACTGGGTTCCAGCGAGGCCCATCCAGCCGGCAGGCCTCTGGCCACTTCCCCTCCCTGGGCCGGCCTCCAAGGCCCAGTTCCTCCCCTCCTAACCCTAACCCTCTCCTTGGCCCGATCCCCATCTCCCCGTTCTCCTCCCTCCCGCAGCGCCGCACACATTCAGCGCCAGCGCCCGAAACCTCTCTCCCCCATCGATCCCTTCCTCCCTCCTGTGCTTGCGCCGTCAGAGAGAGACAGGGAGAGAGCAGCGCTGCACCCCTCGTCCCGATCCATGGATCTCCTCGCTGCGAGCCTGCAGCCGCCGCCGTACTGCTGTCGTGTTGCGCCCTGCCTCTGCATTTTCCCCATGGTGCCATGGCCATTCCGATGCCCCGAGCCGCCTCCTTCTCTTCCTCACGCGCCCGCGACCATGGCCCCTCGTCATCAAGTTCGCCTGCATGCTCCCTCCTGCTCCTTCGACCTTGCCTTGCTCTGTGACCAGCGCCATCGCCCGCTGCTTCCTGCGTTGAGGAGCCCCGCCGCGTCAAGTCCCTGTGCTCGCGCCTCCTGCCCAGCCGGCCATCTCTGCCGTTCTCGCCCTGGATCCGGCCAGAGCTCGCCTTCCGGCTACGGATCCGCACCTCCCGCGCCCATTCCCGGTGCCGCTGGACCGCTGCTTCGTTCATCCTCTCGCAAGCCGTCATGGCAGGCAGGAACCTTGGCTCCTCTTGCAGCCGACGTGCCCTGCCTAGGCCTCCTGTTCACGTTGACCGGAAGACCGCAAGATACCTCTCTGTTGCCTATATGCATTGTTGGTCAACATATTGATGCACGCCAAGTACCAGGTCAAGGAGGACCGCCAAGTTCATCTTTCGATGTCTCCGAAATCGCAAGTACCATGACGTCAAGTACCCTGTGGATGCGTCAAGTGCCACGATGTCACAAGAACGAGACCGGCAAGTTAGAATGACCCCAAGTACCACTTCGAAGCAACCGAGTACCATTACCGTCGGACGCTCGAACGACTACAGGCCGAAACGTCAAGTTCCTCGATGAACCGTGTACGACTACCGTTTCCCGTGGATTCACCTAAGTACCACTGTTCGCACACGAACACGTCACCGTGTACCCTCGACGCCGGGGGTGATGCACCGCAGCTCACGTTGAAGGAGACCCGCCGGAAGCGCGGTACGCAAGACAATCTGGCGGGTGCTTTTGAGGACCCGAAACCCCACACGCCTGGGAGGGACCCCGTCAGGGCGCGCGGCGGCTATGGGCTGCCCTAGGTCGACCTGATCTCCCCTAGGGCCTCGAGGTTCGCCGCCCTGCAAATGAAGAACGAACGAAGAACGAGGAAGAAGAAGAACAAGGGAAGGAGATAAAAGTAAAGGTAAAAAGATGATATATTGATAGATCGATTGTGTGTTGTTTAATCAGCCGTCACCCCGTACATATATATGAGGCGGTTGGACTTCCCGTACAAGAAAAGGACTCAAATCACGTCCAAATCATCAAAAGTTACCCTAACTCGGACTACGAGGGCCGGAACTTCCGGGCTGAAATTATATCAAGTAGCCCTCTTGCACTGAATCTGCAGGCCGCATACTACTTCGGATGACGATGGTCCCAAAAGCAAAGTTGTAGATCTTGCAATGGAGAAAAACTCTTCAGTTGATCACTTTTTCATCCGAGGTCATCTTGATGTCGAAATCGGCCCCGCAAATATGTAAACAATGTTAAAATTCCAGTCTTCGGGGCGCACCGCATGCAAACTTTCGGTTTAGCCCGGAACCTCCCCGGAAGTTTTGCCCGGAACTTCCGGGGCAAACTTATACAGCACATTGTTTTGGCTCTAACTTTTGCATACGAACTCCGATTTAGACGTTTTTTATATCGAAATTGATCGCCTCGACGAGACGAAAACAATCCGTGTAGAAACATTTCTCATACGAGTCCATCTTGGGGGCGTGATCAGCTAAATAGTGTTCTGAATATAAAATCTGAGTACTTCAAACACAACTTCGGCCTTAGAGATGAGACCAGATGGCTATGGCCCAAATATGAAAGTTTCTCCTTTTGACGATACAGAACTTTCTCACTTTGAGCACTTCTCCATTTGAGGCCATCTTAATTAAGTTCTTGGCCGTGTCAAAATCTGGTGTCAACACATGCCCCCCTGTTTTTCGGCAAAGCTTGTGTGCCGAAAAATAACTCGCATATAGCTTGTTCTAAGGACGATGTCAACACTCCATCGGCCATTTTGCATGTTCTTAGGACGATAAGTATATATCGGCCATTGCTTGTTTGAACCTCTTAAGGCAAACTTGGGTGAAAACTTCTCAGCTTCTATAACAATCCGGTGATAAGGTTCCATAGACCAAAACCATCCTCCGAACCATATTGTTCTCCCTTTCGCTAGGATTTTGCAGATAATCAAGAATGAACTTCCTCCAATCCTTACTTCGTCTGCATAAAAGTTTCATTAGTGGCCGAAGCGGTGGGCTTCGGTTCGGCCTTACCTATATTGACAAGACCTAGCATCGGTTATTGATAGAAATGTAATACACCATGGTTAACATAGTAGCCGGATGCTTGCTGTGCCAACTCTTTCGAATTGTCATGTCTAGAAATATGAACAATTTTAAAGCAACCCAAGGTAAATCTTGCATCTAGACATACCATAAGATAAACTATAAGTGATTCGTCAAAACGTTGATAACCCTTGGATATTTTTTGCTCTACTAATAATGAATCATCAGAAGCCTCAATATGTATAGCACCTATAGCAAGGCAAAGCTCCAATCCGAATAACAATGCATATTCGTCTTTGATCATTGTGCAAAAATATTTTAAGTGGCATGAGGCTTCACAAAATAGCTTCATATGGAGATAAATAAACAACACCAACACCTTGGCCATTGTTACAAATTTAACCATCAATATATAATCTCCATGGTACTAGAGAGATCAAGCTAAAATCAATATTATGCATGATGTCAATATGATGCTCAATAATAAAATCAACCATGATTTGGCCTTAGGTAAATTCTGAAAACTAACAAGCCAAAGCACACCCAATCAAAACATAAGTTCACTTTGCAATTTTGGTGAATTGGTCTATGCATAATATCCTCAATGGCATCAATTTGACAAATTCCTTTGCAAGCACTTATCTCAATCTCTACTCAAACTAAGGACGGTGTTAGAGTACCACACCGGCCATTCTTACATATATTCTTAGGGCGATAGATAAGTATCGGCCATTACCATGAGGTCCATGTAGAATTCATTCACCAAATCATGTATAGCCGAAATAAACAAATGAAATAGCAATCAAATATTTCGGCCCTTTGGATTAGCAAGAAAAAATGTAGCTAATAAATTATATAGAGATTTGGTAATACCCTCTCATGATGCAGAAAATTATGTCGCTTTCATGGATCAAAATAAATCCAGGGAGGGTAATTTATCATACCTGATGATGAATTCCATGGCAAAGGCATCAATGGTATGGTTGAAAAACATGGACGATGTGTTGACCGAAGATTTTGATGGGGTGATGCAAACCTTCAGCTTAATTGTTTCTGGTTTCCATCCTTCTCTTTCTTCACTTTTATAACACTCGTTGCAATAGAAGGTTGCACATCATTTTTATTTTGACTGCTCCTCTTGGGAACCCATTCCATGCTCTTCTTTATCAGCTCTTGTGCACTAAGTTTTTGTAATTCCTTCTTTCGCCAATACGATAAGCCGAGTGGGCACCCCGGCTGTGATTTTGTTTGAAGCAATGGCAATTCTTGTTTTACCTTGTGCACTCTCAACTTCTTTTCTTCGGATTTGGCACTTTGACTCTCGATAATTGGTTGCTTCATCTCATTGCCTTTAGTAACCAATGTCAACACTTTAATTGGCTCTTTTTCATTTGAGATCAGTTGTGAAGTAGCACTCTTACGACCATCTCTTTTAACACGGTACACTTGTTTGACCACCTCTTTCTTCTTCTTTGAGCTCCGGACCGATTCCTTATGATTGAAACGGTCTTTAACATATGATTGTTCAAATGTTGATCTTCTCGGAGATGCATAATACTGGTTAGATGGTCTAAAATAAGATGGAGAGTGTGCCCTTGTATCATACCTGTCCCATGATGGATATGGATCTACATGAGCATAGGGATGCATCCACGGCATTGGCACTGACGGCCCAAAATAAGGATATGAATATGTTGCATTAAAATGCTCACTTTGCCAATACCGATCCTCATATTTACGCCTTGGGGGTGATCTTGGTTTCTTTGCATGATTTGTCCGATAAGCATTCTTCTCTTCACTCTTATTTTGATATTTATCCAATAGTTCAGCGAAGGTGATTTTTGATCTCTTACACTTGCGCTTATTTCGGCCTTTGTTTTCTTTTGGTTTGCTTTCATCGATCATTGGATTTCTTTGTTGCCCCCCAGTCCTTAGCGTCTTCATTGTAGCTTCAATGGAATTCTCACCCTCAAGTTCATGTTCATTGTGATCTTCAACTACTTCTTTACTTGAAAGCTTGATCCCATCACCTGTAGTTTTTACCTTCTCTTTAAATGGATCGTCTTGAAGCAGCCGATGCAAAAAATTTCTGCCATCGGGACCAATCGGAATAGACTGGTCATCTCTTGGTGTCTCGACAAATTTTAATCGTCCTTTATCAATGGCCGATTGAACTATTTGACGAAACATGTGGCAGTCCTCAAAATTATGCTTGGACGAATCATGCAACTTACAATACATTCGTCCTTGGATAGACGGCTTGACATGGTGATCAAGAATTCTAATGTAATTATTTTTCAACAACAAATCAAAGATTTGATCACACATGTTTGAATCGAAGGTATACCTTTTGTTTTCTAGCCGATCTTGTTGTGAGAACGTCTTTGGAGTTAAGCAAACGAATGGTTCAGATTTGGCATCTTCCCATTCGGCTATGAATTCTCTTTCGCATACTTTTTCCGATGTCCTTAAATAAGAAACTATACTAGCATCAGTTTTCCCAAAAGATTTTAACCTTGGATTTAAATTTCTGAAATCAAAGTAGTTAGAACATACACGTCTAAATTGAGACCATACGTAAGCCAAGCATGAAGCAAGCAAAGCTACCCAATTAGATATGAACTTTAAATAAAGCAATGGGAAAAGCTTTGGCTGTAGTAGTAAGTCACTATCGGTCTCTTTGAATGGTACAATATATTGACCGATATGCTTAGTAACAATTTTATTGCTAACAAGTAAATTGCCCTTCTTCATTGGTCTTTGAAAATTACTTATTAGAATTTTCCTAATAGATGCATCAACAATAAAGTTGTGACCAAATCTGAAAATAGGTAATTACTTGCTAAACATACCTCTTCAAATATGTTGGGAGAGCATGATGATGGTGTGACTTAAAGAATATCTTGCTCCGCCTTCGGATAGCTCCCCAACGCCTTGTCATCATCTTTCTCTTGGTTTCGTGCATTGTTAGTTTGAAGATCTTTGTCCACCAAACTTTCTTCAGCTACTTGTTCTCGTTCTTGAAGCTCATCAATTTCTATGGCACGAAACTCATAGGCCAGGAAGTAGGTTCCATTAACTTCAGAAAAATCAAGTATGGTTGTCTTGCTATACTTCCCATACCCTTTCTCAAGAATGTTTGCCTCTTTGGATTTGATGGACTCGGAGTATAT